TGCTGGATTGTAAATCGTATTAAGTGACCTAATTGTAATCATTAACAATTACAAGTAAGCCATGCCTTTTGTATCCAATATTCAGTAGGGGAAATGGTTTTTATTTTCATGATGTACTAGATGCTATTATGCATCTAGAAATCTTTTGCAAATGTAGAATCTTCCTGAGATATAAACAATAAACTTTAAACTTGAAGTTTATCTTAACATATGAGTTCCTATGGATATCACTGGGTCAATTATACCCTACCTGGCAATTAATTGAATTCAAACTCTCTACAATGATTAAGACTACAGAGCTGGGAAGGTGGCTCAGTGGTAGATCACTTGCCTTACAAGCCGGAGGCCCTGGGTTCGATTCCTCAGCACCACATAAGCAAAAAGAAAAAAGCTGGAAGTGGCTCTGTGGTTCAAGTGGTAGAGCGCTAGCCTTGAGCTGAAGAGCTGAGGGACAGTGCCCAGGCCCAGAGTTCAGGCCCCATGACCGGACCCCCAAAAAATGATTAAGACTACAATAGATGTGCTAAATATTGCACATGGGATATTTTTCAGTTATCTTCCAAATTGTAGAATCTTTCTGTGCTGCAAATGATACAGTAGTCTCCAAGGTCTCCTTCCTAGACATCCAGTCTGAAAAGTTTTCAGTGTGTTTTTTTTGGAAAAGAAGTTTTTAGAAGTTGTTGGCAAATTTTATTTTCTATGTTTTCCCATTCTTATTGAGACTGCCTGTCCAGTTCTAAGAGGTTTGGGAACAGATAAGAACAAGCTTATTTCCTTCCTCCAACTCAACACAGTTTATTGCCAAATTTGTTTCTGATAGGAAAAATGCATTAGAAAGGTATTAGATCTTTTTACATGCTCAGCCTCACAATCCTTTGCCAATGCTATCTAGTTATTTCCAGTTCAACAAGTATTTACTTAATTTGAGCAACTTGACTTTTTTTTCAAGTCAGGGCACAGTAATAATTCTGAAAGTAAACAAGTCAGAATGGTCCTTTACTTGCCAGGTAGATAAATCAAAAAGAATATAAGTGAGAAATAAGACATCAGATATATTATGAAGCAAGAATCAAATACATAATCACAAGTTCATGGGAGGTACCCTCTGCTGAACTGAAGATTGGAGTCTGTTTTCACATTAGTGATCTTTCTAAATTAATGATCATATAACTATCATTCTTACAAATCACAAGTAGTACATGTTTTAACATTTATCTTCACAATTTCAGGTAGAAAAACAGCTATTTGGAAGCCTTAATCATCCTAGAATTAAAATAAAAGGACAAACCCAATAGTATTTCCTGTTTTACATTTAAGTGTTTATTACTCCTTAAATTATCCATATAGATTGATCTGGCTTCCCCTCACCTCACCCCGCCCCACCCCACCCACCCCACCCATCCCCACCCTTCCCCACCCCACCCTGCCCCGCCCTCCTGAATCCTCAGAGATATCCTTCTCAGTGTGCTGAACTTGGTAAATTTTTACTAAATTAATTTCTATTCACTCCAAGAAAACTTCCATAAGCATACATGTTTCTAGACTCTTTCACCCTTCTCTCCTTAGCCAGAGTAATAAGCAACTATCGATTCTGCTTATTAAAAAAAATAAAATCAGTGACATAGTGATTACAAGCTGTATTATTTACAGGTATTATTACATTTTTTACATTAATCAAATGTTGAAAACATTATTAATGCACTGATATATATGTGTGTGTATATATATATATATAGAGAGAGAGAGAGAGAGGGAAGGAGAGAGAGAGAGAGAGAGTGTTATAGAGAAGTAAACAACCTAGTCCAATATTGCATTGCTAACAAGTGATAGAGACAAAATTTTAATTGAGTCAACTTTGGTATGATTTGTATTTTCTTACTGGAGTTAATGATGGATAAGTAGAGCCTGTAATTTAGAAAGGACTCAAAAGGACTTTAAAAAGTACTTACTGAATTGGGGACAACTAGAAGTGTATGCTTTTAGGCAATAAAATCAAGTATAAAATGTGACATCTTTATTAAATAACAATGCATATATGCTAAGTAGAGAATTGGATATATAAATCTGGAGTCAGTGAAGAATTCAGAACAGGAGGTAGACATTTGGGAACAACTGACATATAAATGATATTTAAAATTACAGAACTAGGAGAGAATTTGGAACTTGTATGAATGGAAGTAAATTTACTGCACCCTCAGCATTTAATCAGTTTCTAAATCATAGTAAATTGTTTCTAAATATCTACTGAATAAACAGATATATACATCAAATGCTACAATACATCAATATTAGGCCAACATTGGCTATGAGGAACAATTGAAGAACATTTGCTTTAAATTGTTTTCACTTATAGATTTACAAGCTAACTAGATTAAGTGAAATATAAATGAAATTTTAAAAAAGGAATCAGGTCATGGCATTACAATATACAGCTTAGAGCTCAAGGTTGAGGATTTGATTTTATAAAATAAATTCTTGTTTTGAATCAATAATTTGATTTAGGTGGTTTACGCTTTATATTCTAAGAAACAAGGAATTAGAAATTATAAATAAAATGAAATTCATGAGTGGAATATATTTGTTTCCTAGGCAATTTTCATCATAGTTAATACTTATTAGTTTTCCTGGACATAAATCCATGTGAGAATTGAATGCCAGTGTCATAATTCTATGACATCATGAAAGAAGTGATTCTGGTAAGTTGAAGAGAAATGAAGGAAAATGGAGAGAAACCTACTTTGGTTTACATAAAAGTATCAAGAATTTTAGAAGAAGAATAGAATTCCCTTGGTTTCAATCTGCTGTTTCTGCCAGCTTATTAGACTAATGCTTTGGGTTGCATGGCAATAATCTTTTTTAGAGCATCAATCACTGATAAGAAACAATATGACCAAGAAGACAAGCTTATGTTCCTTAGAGGAAATTTTTTTCTTATAGATCTTTGTCTCCCAATTCTTAGGGTTATAGAACAAGATCTTTTTTGATTTATTTTATTTTTTTGCCAGTCCTGGGGTTTGAACTCAGGGCTTACGCACAGTCCCTAAGCTTTATTTTCTCAAGGTTAGCACTCTATCACTTGACCCACAGCACCACTTCTGGCTTTTTCTATGTATGTGATACTGAGGAATCAAACCCAGGGCTTCATGAATGCTAGCCAAGCACTCTACTTCTGAGCCACCTTCCCAGCCATAAGATAGTTTTTGAGTTGAGATAACACATATCATACCTAGTAACAGTTTAACATTTTGCTTTTTCTGTTACTTGACTAGAGGAAAAAATAACATTATCTTATGTTTCTAAAATGCTTTTATTTTGGTAAAAATCTAGAAGTTAATAACATATAACATATAGGATATTTTGATCTGCTGTTGAATAATATTAGTTCATTTGCTAACAATGTGTCTACAAATATAACCCTAAGTGTGCAAACATAGGAAACAACACATATATAATCTAAAAATAATATTATTAAACCAAGCTGGTACATAGACATAGATTAGGAAAGCACAAGAAGAAATATCTGCTGAAACATTTAAGTAAGTTAATTAGATTGCTTTTTTTATTAACTGTCTCGGGCTGGGAAGGTGGCTCAGTGGTAGAGTGTTTGCTTTGCATGCATGAGGCCCTGGGTTCGATTTTTCAGTGCCACATAAGCAGAAAAAGCCAGAAATGGCACTATAGCTTAAGTGGTAGAGCACTAGCCTTGAGATGAAGAGCTGAGGGACAGCGCCCAGGCCCAGAGTTCAGGCCCCATGACTGACAAAAAAAAAAAGAAGCAAAAACTGCCTGATCATAGTTAACAAATATGGCCAGGGAAGAAACTCAAACATGTAATGACAAGGAATTATCTATTCCCCCGGTGAGAATCCTACTAGCATAATCAATTTTGCTTTAGGAATTAAATTTTCTTCTTTTTCAATTAAAAATAATTATCAACAAATTTCATAATCTAATTTAGATGTGTTTTAAAATTAATTAACTAAAATTAATTAAGTTCTGTACTTCCTGGGTCTTGATCTCAATTCCTAGTATTATTGCTCAACTTCTTTGCTTATGGCTGGTGCTATACATCTTGAGCCATGCCTCTCATCTGGCATTTTGCTCATTAATTAAATGGAGTCGTACAGATATTTCTGCCCAGGACTAGTTCATAGGTGCGATTCTCTAGGATCAGCCTTTTTTTCATATATATTGTATTTTTAAAATACTGTACAGAGGGCTTACAGTTGCATGAGTAGGGTAATGAGTACATTTCCTATGGAGCATTGTTACCTCCTCTTTTGTTTTTCCCCTACCATCCCTCCCCTCCCCATCTCCTCAACTCCTCCCCCACCTCCACCCACCAAAATTGTAAAGTTCATTATAACATAGTGTCATCCTGTATCCTTATTGAAGCATTTTATTTTTTCCTTTCCCCTCTCCAAATTAGAAAAGTGTATATACAAGATGCAGGGCACCAGAATCAGATACAGTGAAAACAGGGGTTATACAGTGAGGGAAGAACATACAGAACAAAAGAATCACATAGCATCATAAGTACGTTAAAAAACACTAGCAAGAAACAAAACAAAACAAAAAATCAAAAAAAAACAAAACAAAAAACACTCGTGTCCCTGTCTTGGGGTTCATTTCGCTTAACATCATCTTATATGGTCATATGTACATAGCTTTTGACTTTAATTGCTTGTCTGAGATATGTATTAGTTATTGCAAATAAGGGCAACCATGGGAGCTATGATTCTTTGGGCCAGTGGATATATATATAGGAATTCTATGCCTCCATTAGAAAGTAATTCTATTCTTCAAGTCACAAGCTCATTGAGCAAAGGATTCCATTGCATAGGTCTGTATATTATTCATACTGATATTATCTTTCCAGAAAATTCCTCCTTAAGAAAAATATCAGAGAGCAGTGTGAAGAAGAAGAAAGAAAGACCACTGGACCGACCAAAGTCGTGCTTGGCTGCATCCTAGCCCAGCGCCTCAGTTCCGCCACCACCATGCCCAAAAGAAAGACTGACGGTGATGCGAAAGGAGATAAAGCAAAGGTGAAGGACGAGTCACAGAGAAGATGCGCCAGGTGGTCTACGAAACCTGCTCCTCCAAAGCCAGAGCCCAAGCCTAAAAAAGCCCCTACAAAGCAGGGAGAGAAGGTACCCAGAGGGAACAAGGGGAAAGCTGATGCTGGCCAGGATGGGAATAACCCTGCAGAAAATGGAGATGCCAAAACAGACCAGGCACAGACAGCTGAAGGAGCCGGGGATGCCAAGTGAGGTGTGCGCATGTGTGATAGCTATGTACTTCCGGTGACTCTGCAGGTTGAAATACCATTTTTATCAAGTTTTATAAAAATGCAGACCTTTGTTTTACTTTTTTAAAGCTATATTTTAGCACACAGGACATTTGGGAGCATCTGTCACTAATAGAATGTCTCTAAAGCTGGACAACTACGGGGGGAAACATCGTGCCCTGCTAGTTTTGAGAGGCTTCTTGTTGGCTCCTGGGAGGAGGAGCCCCCTCATGGGGACACACAGCCATCTTGGCACCAACACCTCAAAATAACTTTTGTCCTCCTCCTCCTCCTCTATCATCAGTATAGACTTAACTCCCTTAAAACCAGAGGCCGGTCAGGTCCTTGACCCTCCATGCCCCCCAATTGGTTCTTCCAATGTGCCAGGCAATCTGGACTTGGCAGTGGCATCATTGAGATGGTGTTCCTTAAAAGAGCAGTGATTTCCTTTTCTAAATAGTGGATTTTCAGATTGATAGTTCTGCCATTTTCATTTACTGTAACTCAGGGTCGGTGTGTGAAAAGTTGTTAAACAACATGCTTAATGAAATGTCAACCCTCACTCTAAACTTTCCCTATTCAGAGCTTCAAATGAAGACGTCATTGGGTTTTATAGTGGCTTTCTGATTTTGATAGTCCATCCAAGAAGGGAGTTTGAATCTTGTTGTGTACTGCTAAAAAAAAATATATTATTTGCCCATGTCCTGCCTGAAATACCATGATAGTTTATGAAAAATATCTTTAATAAAGCTGCATACAGTTTGGCTTGGAAAGAAAAGAAAAATATCAGAGCAATGTAGGATTTATAAACAACATTGATCTGAAGTTAACTAAGGAATTCTTTAATGTATTTACCTTGCTCACTGAGATTATGGAAATGTTATTAAAATCACTTTAATGAAGATATTTGGAATCTTTAAGTCAACTTGAGAACTACTTACTTGAACTGTTGGCCAAGTATGTAATCCAGACCTAGTCCTATAAAGAATATGTGGTACTATTTGATAACAAATATTTGATGACAAATTAATATCGAGAATGAAAGTTACAGTAAATAGCAAGTAAAACCTGCCTTGAACATTAACTGACCCACAGCAAGTTTTCCAAGCTAAACATTGACTTCCTAAATCTGCACAGAACAAATTTAAGAAGTTTGAATAAAGAAAAATAAGTAGTCATTTTTTTGGTATTTTCCTGTGTCTTAAAAAGCTGGTAATAAGATTTGAGATGGCAAAGATTCCTTATAAACATACCTCTAATTTGTTGCTTCTTTAATTCAGAAACAGTATACTACTAATCAATATTGGATGGTAAGGAATATCTGTATGCAAATTGATCAGCTATTGGACAATAGCAGATTGAATATAAATTTTGGCATAAAACATTTAATACAGGAAAATATTATGGCTTTGGAAAATGTATTTTAACCAATCAGCACCGTATGCATATATCATATTTAATTGTTAAGGATCTTTGCTGGACTAAGAACATTACAATGGGATACAAAATACATTTTTCAAAGTAGAGATGTGAGTGATGATTTGTACATACTAATATGAATGAAAGGTGAAAGAATCTTTCAGGAGATAATAATTGGGCAGATGCTTAAAAGTGTGATTTCACCTTCAGGCAAAATGTCATATAGACTCATGAGAAGAAGTTGAAAACTAGACATTCATGGCTCAGATTTTAGCCTTTTTAAAAATATTTTTATTTTATTTTATTTTTATTTATTTATATTGTGAGAATACCATACAGAGGAGTTACAATTACCTGGGCAAGATAACGAGTACATTTCTTATCAAGCAAAATACTAAGGCATGAATTCTCCATTTGATCAAAAAACACTATTGAAACACTATTGTATTAAACCACTTTGGATTTATTTGTTATTTTTTGGCTGCTTTGAGACCTTGAGTTTATAATCTTTAACAAGAAATAGAATTGCAAATAAGAATAGAAACCTTTCAAGTGCAAACTCTTTATGGTAAGTGAAAATGAGTTTCAAAGCATATTTGTTGTTTGATTATTCATATAGATAATTTAATCCAGTGTTCAACAAAGGAATGATAAATTGTTTGAGGAATAAATTGCACACTCCACTTGATTTTGTTCAATGAAGTGTGATTGGGATACTGCCATGCATGTCTCTTTTAATGCTATCAATATTTGCTTCTACCAAATGAAAGCAGTTATCATATGACTTTCAAGTTCAAAGTATTTATAATCTATTCCTTTAATCAACAGTTCAGGCATAGTGATTATTTGCTTGTTCTTTATTACCTTTAATATTTATACAAGGAAGTTGTTACTTACCAATCAGTTTATGAATACAATGTATCTTGATCAATATTCTTACCTATCTTTCCTCCACTAGCTCTTCATTTATTTTTCTTAATTTTGTATGATATAAATTGGATTTTTGACCGTATTGTCCCCTTATCTGTCTTCATTTATTACCTTTCTCCCCTTCATCCCACCCCTTCCTTTCAAAACGTATTTCCTGATGTTTATTTTGATCAACTTGGATTTTGCCTTTCTATAAAATTATACTTTTTGCTCTCCCTTGTACCTACCATATTTCAGTTAATACATTTGTGTATACTTGTATACCATCTACCACATTTACACCTGTATTTATAAATTAACTCTGACTTCCACATATAAGAGAAAGCATGCAACCTTTGTCTATCTGGGCCTGACTTACTTCATTGACATATTTTTCCATCCATGCTATAGTAAAGCCACCAGCACAAACATGTTCATTGCAGTACTATTTGCCATAACCAAAGTATGGAATCAGCCAAGATGGCTCTAAATGGACACATGAACATGAATAAAAGAACATAGAAAATGCATAACAAACATATCTAATTTATATAGGTACAAACACTTTATTCCATCACTTATCTGATGATGATAATGTCTTGCATGAATTCAGAGTCAGGAATGGAATCCATTTTCAAACTGAGCAATAGAACTCTATTTGCATAATTTTCCAATCCATTTGCACACTGTTTAGTGAAATCAGAAGGGATCATTACACAAATGATCAAGCTATTCACCTGTCATCATAAAATAAAACCACTTGCACAGAAAGATAAATTAAGCAAATATGCACAGCTCCAGTATAAATAATAATGTCAAATTTTAAATTAGGTAAATTGGGCACAAAGTAACATTAAGAAAAATACAGTGTAGAAATAAAATGGATTCAAAAGGATTGAAATAAATTTCTTGACCTTCATTATCTCTTCTGCAAATACTGGCAAATGGAGGAAAGATTCAATCAATCCTACTATCATTCCCAGCTTCTGTCTGTCTATCTATCCATTAAGGCTTTTACAATAAAGTGCAGACATATATTTTAAGTCAGCCCACAACATGATGAATAAGGGCAGCACTGTAAAGAAATATAAAACTTCCCTGTCTCCTTCATCTGTTCTTCTGGTGCAGTGATTAACCTTTGAGTTTATGAGTATTTTTGCACTTGCTTCAGATAAAATGTTTTATGAGTTCTTCCCTCCCAGGCACCTTGGATTAAACTGATCAAGAACAGCAAGTTAGGGACCTGTAATGACGAGTCCCTGTGAAATCATAATCTTTCTTTTTGCTATATTGTCTGAACACACTTTACACAAAGCAAATGGGACTACCAAGGCACAGACAAGACAACTTGTTAAAGTCACATGCCATGCCTATACATCATTCGAGGCATTTGCAGACGCCCCTCCTGAGGAGATACTGCTATGCCTTATGGAGGCTGAGAATATGAAAAGATCATTTTTACTCTCTACTAATTTCTATGTGGAATGGTACCTGAGTTCACAAAAACTTTGGCAGGACACTAGCTGACGACTAATCATTCCTTCTTACTTGTAGAACCTGAGCAGGAGGCAAATTTATCTTTCAGTAAATTCCTAATGAAATAATAAAGTGTAGTGGGGTATCTTGCAGTTCAATACCATACTATCTCCAAAAACAGCAACTGAAAAATGACTGGTTTGCCATTATCTTGTGATTCTACAGACATTTGATTTAAGGAAGGGGAGATACTTTCATCAGTGAACAGGGACATTGTCAACAACATTCAATGTCTTTAAAAACGTGTCTTAAAAATACATACATTGCTGGGGCTGGAAAGGTGACTTAGTGGTAGAGTGCTTGCCTTGCATGCATGAGGCTCTGTGTTCAATTCCCCAGCACCACATAAGCAGAAAAAGCTGGAAGTGGGGCTGACACTCAAGTGGTAGAGCACTAGCATTCAGCTGAAGAGCTGAGGGACAGTGCCCAGGCCCAGAGTTCAGGCCCCATGACTAAAAAAAAAAAAAAAAAAATATATATATATATATATATACACATACATACATACATACATTGCTTTAAAACTGGGGCTTATCAAATCAAAGTTTGCTAGATCATTGGACAAATAAAACCAGGAACAGAAATTTATTTGTCATGGATTCACCCAGTGACAAAGGGAGGTTTTACAAAGAGGAGACATAGGGATGGAGGAACTTGTAATCTCAGCACCTTGAATCGGAGTTGACTAATAGTCCACACAGTCAGGATGTGAGAGACAAAGAGGGCCAAGCTAACATGTCCATGTCACAAGGGCCATGTATTCATCTCTTTCCAAAAATGTAAGCTAGATATTGTCTGATCATCTAAGACCTCGACTGAGCATCCAGGAAAGATACCCTTGCCTTGGTTCAGATCTGCTACTAACACCTGCTTCATTACCTTCAACTTCCTGAAGATCCTTTTCTGTAGAATTCCCAGTAAAAGCAGATGAGGAATTGGGAAGAGTGGACACTTCTGTATTATATTTCTGATGACCCCAGAGATGACATCAGTACCATGGAGGAATGGAAGCCATAACAAAAGGAGTACTTTAAATGCAAAATAATTTATTTGCTGAGCTCAAATGTGTATATATAAGCTATCATTTGTTCATTGTAAAATGGCCCTTTCTTTTCCTCC